GTCTAAGAAGGCTAACTTGCCATTTTTCATATCCTCCCAGGTGAACTTGATGTGTTGGTCCACCGAGATAATGTGATCCGTGAAATGTAGTACGTCCTGAGACTTGATTTTCACCCAGGTGACATCCACATATCTGAACCAATGGCTTGGTGGTGTTCCAGGGTAGGATAGCAAAGCCCTCTTTTCTACTTCTTCCATGTACAAATTGGCCACGATGGGTGAAACTGGGGAACCAATGACACACCCATGTTTCTGCCTGTAGAACTGACCCTTGTATGTGAAGTAGGTGGAATGAAGACACAGTTCCAAAAGCAAACACACTTGGTCGATGCTGAGAGTGGTCCTGTTGTTGAGGTTGGGGTCATCCTGTAATCTCTTACGCACTACCTCCAACGCTTCCGTGCTCGGGATGCATGTGAAGAGAGATGTAATGTCGTACGAGACCAGGATTACATCTGCTTCCATAATGACATCTCTCACCTTCTCAACAAAATCCAAGGTGTTCTGGACGTGGTGTTCAGAGCTGCCTACCAATGGGTTGAGGATTGAAGCCAAAAACTTGGAGATGTTATAGGTGACGGAGTTGATCATGCAGACAATCGGTCTTAAAGGTGCACCCTGTTTATGTATCTTCGGTAAATCATACAGACTTGGTGTAGATTCCCCTGGGTACAGCCTCTGGTATGAGGTCCGGTCAATAGCCTTGTCTTGTTCTAACTGCTTCAGACAATCTATCACCCTCTTCCTGTAACCACTTCCTGGGTCTCCTTTCAGGCGCTCATAAGCATTTTCATCCCTGAGTAGTGACAAAACCAGCCTTCAGTGGGTTGGTTTCGGTCATTATGCAAATCTACTGTTTAGAAGATTGGAGAACCTGCAGTCAGCTGAGACTGAAGAAGTCACTTGGATGAGTGATGAAACGTTTCTCCCACAAAATGCTCCATCCAGATGAACAGAATCAACTTTTGGAGATGAGACTTTTTAATTTTTTTCAAGTGGTCTTGAGAAACTTTTTTTTCCAGGCCTTTAGAAAGTCTTTCTCAGAGGAAAGACTTCAGAGGAATGTTCTTTTTAAAAAAAAATTGTTCAGCCTCTTAATATCGAATTACGAATCATTCAAGCTTTAAAAATGCACCTAATTCAAGGGATGAACTGGTATAGTCAATACAGACAACTTAGAAAAGAACCACTTTTACATTTTGACACATTTTGTTACAAATCCTTTCCCACAAAAACACATAATTTGTTCCAATTTCTTTAGAGACATCTATGAAAAATGCCAAAGATAACACAATGTGACAGGCATACAATAGTATTTTTGTCCCAATAAGATGATTCCCAAAGAGCTGTTAGCCAAACTCCAGTGTGCCTTTAAAAAACTGAGGAAACTGAACAAGTGGAGGACAAAAGAAGAAGGGGCTGTACCTACAGCAGGCAAACATGAAAGCCATGACCTTAAGAAGAAGGAACAAAACAGCAAAGACCCAACACAGGACCTGATGCATGTATCTGTTCGCTGTCAGGCCGTGCGTGATTATACAAAACACAGATTTTCAAGCTCAAAAACTTTTTTTGCTAGGCCCCCCTTTGTTTTACAAGAAAAATGTTCATGCCCCCCTCCCCCCCGCGCTCGCGCACACACGCACGCACTAACACATCCTCCAACCACACACACCCATATTTTGCTCCATTGCTGTTTATTTCACACCTCAAACATTTAGTAAACAATTAAGTAAATACAAGTAATCTGCAATAAATTACAGGTAGTAAGAAAATAAACTACTAACTTTTTTACACTACCTGCACACCTAAATGGGTATTTTTGAAAACGCAGCTGTTTCGTCCACACGTAAACGGCGTTTTGACTCCCCGAACTGAGATTTTTTTAAAACTCATTTTTTGCGTTTATGTGTGGACGAGGAATACAGAGTTCGTCACACAACATCAAAGGTATGTGCCTTTTTTCACGTCACGCTGTGCGCCACGTTATTGTTTATGTGAGATGAATTGCAGAATGGCAGATATTCAGATTAACAGTGTTTTGTCTCTATCTTCAGATTTTACACGCTTACATAAACACGCAGTTACTGTCCCTCTATTTAGAAAGGCAGAGGCGTCACGGTGTGATTATTTTACGTGTTTTTTTTCCCCTGTGTAATAATATCCAACATTCCTATCAATACATTTTTCAAAAAATGCCTCTCCGTGGAAATTGGTTTAAAAACATAAACAACTGTGGGATACTGTTTGTCCGGGATTTGAACCAGGGGAACACATTGTGGCAGGATTAGCCTGATATTATTTGTATACCACTGTAACTTTACTGTATAAAGAGCTAACATCTCCAAAATGTCAGGAGTAGTTAGTCATTACAACAAGTGTTTGTGAACTAAAAAGAATGTGGGATACTGTTTGTCCGTGATTTGGAGAGCCCAGCACGTGCTCCCGATACAGGGAAGAAGCGGGCCCCACACTTTGGGAAGGTCTGCATGTATGTTTGCACATGTTTCAATAAACTGCTCTATTGCCCATTTTCCTAGCAACATGCAAAGAAATGTGGAGTGGCAGAAGAATTAACTACTAAGTACTGTAATTCCCATGATATGGTATATATTGAAAACTCTGATGTGCCAGAGAAAAACTCGAGAAATAAGAAGCGTTATAAGTTACCTAGTTAAACTTAGTTTTAAGCCTCTAGGGAGCATGAATATCTAATGTCTGGAACACAGGAAAGATTTCTAAACCCACATACTGTTGGATGCAAAATTAAAAATGAATGTGACACATAACAGCTTTGCAGTTATGACAATTACATAACATTTTTACATAACAGTTGGATTTTTAGCTGCTGTTAAGCACGTGTTCATATAAGGAAAAAGCGGTGTAGCAGTGATAACATTCCTAGGTCAGACCAGATCAGACTGTATAAGCTCATACAGCTTGTGTGATATGCTTTACAGAATCCTTAGCTTGTTACTCACACCGGGTAAAAGATTAAATTTAGATGGCATTTTATTTGAAATCCTTCTTACAGAAATGCCTCTCAATTAATCTTAAGGCTACTGCAAAGCGATGTCGACTCACGGTGCAGGTCTAATAAATCTTGTGCTACAGTTAGCCACAGATAATCAGGTAGACTTAGTGTCATATCTACTTTCTATAGCACTCGCAGGCTGATTTTACACAGCATTCAGGATTAGGTGATAAAGTAAAAACCAGAGAAAAATAACACATACTAAAGATGACAAGTATGAATTAAAAGCAGTATGAGGTTGTTTCCTTGTTGCTGTTTGATTAATGTGTGCAAGTCTGTAAATCAAGAAACATAAAACTGAGGAACTCAGGTTGG